AGGCTCTCTATTCCAGAAAGTTCTAGCCACTGCCTAATATCTGCCCACTGCCTTGTCTCTGTGGGCTTAAGAATCCTGTGCCACCCAATGACCAAGTCCAGTCATATTTCTTTAAATGGGTCTGGTAAAGTCAAAGGTGAGAATGTTCTGGAAATGTTAAAATGTCGTATTGCAAATGTCAGATTTTGAAATGTGAGCAAATCCTTCTACAGTGTATTACATACATTTTAGCATGTGTCATGAAGAAGGAAAGGTCAGGACACATCAGAGCACATGCCGAAGGTGTGTGTGTAATGAGTAAGGTATGTGTGGAGTGGGAGACAGGTGAGCTGACTCCTTCAAACTAGAGAAGCCTCGCTCAGGATCTGGGCCCACAGGCCCAACCTCCCGGTCACCAGCGAGTTACCACATGGACAAGCCTTCTGATCTGCGATGAACAAAACAGTTCCTCTTATTCTTTCAATTAAAGATTTCCTGGTAAAAGCCAGACTATTCTATTCAAACTTCATTTCACTTTATGATTTGGAGAACTCACTGGTTGTTGTTGTTGTTATGTGCTGTTGAGTTGCCTGAGACTCATAGCAACCCTATGCATAACAGCCCTACACCCTGCCCTGTGCTGTGCCAATCTCACTGTCTCCGACACACCTACCCCCATTACCTCAATCACTGAATCAATCCATTTCATCAAGGGTCTTCCTCTCCTGTGCTGTCCCTCCACCCTTCCAAGCATGATGTCCCTCTCCAAGGACTGGTCCCTCCTTGCAACATGTCCAAAGCATGTCAGACGAAGCTTCAGAATCCTTGCTTCCAATGAGCAGCCTGGTCTCAGTTGTTAATTGCATTTGGTCATTTTCATGTTGACAGAGACAATGGGAGAGAGTCAAAGTTAGGTCATTATTGACAGCGTGTCACTGCTGTACTCTTCTAGGGAATGTGTTGTGTGCCGTCGAGTCACAATCAACTGAGCTAACCCTTCATCAGGTGTTAAGAAGCAGTAAATTGCATGGGAATTGATGGTCCATTTTCTCCCATGGAGCAGGTGATGGATCTGAACCATGTGCCTCTGGGTTGGCAGGGCAGCTTCTCACCACTAGGCCACAAGAGCTCCCTTTTTGGGATAACAGATGGAGTTTTAAGGGAGTATCATACTCCTTTGTAAATACACTAAATGTCCACTCCTACATGTGTTTCTGTAATTGCTGCTGTTTTTGCTATGTGCCATCAAGTCGACCACAACTCACTGCGGCCCTATGCTTGCCCAGACATGTCCACAGCTAAAGCTAAAAAGTAGCTTAAGCTGTTCATGATGTATATAAGGCAGACGTCACTGACAGGTCTTCCCTAAGAAGTCCTTTCACACTTAGATTTGGGTAACAATGTTTGTAGAAGCAGGAACCGAGGGAGAAGCAGAAGAAGAGTGGAAAATCACTGAGTGTCTCACGATAACCTGCCTAGTGCATGGGATTTCAGGGCAGGATTTTCTTCCTTTCAGGAAAAAAAAACCTTTTCAGGTTTAACTAGACATATGGGTACACTTCAGCAGTACTTTAATGTTGATATTACTGATTCCATAGTATCACCATGGAGACATGGAGAGTTCATGACCATGGTGGAGGTCATTGTAACGGAAGGATATAATCTAGAGAGGGCTTCCTAGGAGTGCAGAGGACATAAGAGGGTCCAGGGTGGTCAGGGTGAAAGGAAGAGGGAGGGCTGCCCCTTACTCCTGACCCTCATAGCTCTCCAGGTGTGACAGGACCCATCCCACAGGCACGTGGAAACACCGAAAGGAGGCCGTAAGCCGAAGAAAGGAATCCATGGTCCCTAGCTGCACCCACAGAGCATTAGAGTGGCACAAGGGCCTGCTGGGTGGGAGCTGTCAGGCCTTTTGATAGCTGGGGGGTCAGTGAGACAATTTGACAATGACCTTCTCCAAACCTCAGAAAGAGGCCACATACATATATATCATAAGCAGTTGTTGGAAACACTGGAATATAGTAACTTAGACTATCCTGTTTGACAAGGGAGCTCTGGCGGCCTAGTGGTAAGGAGCTGTGCTGCAATGCCAAAGACACAAAGTTCAAGGCCACCAGGTACTTCACTGGAGAAGGATATGCAATCCTGCCAGAGGGTCAACTATGGGTTGGTTCTGACTCTATGGTACACAAAAACAACCCTGCTTGACTGTTCGGGCATGTAGCTAGGAGAGACAACTCCTTGGACAGGGATATCATAGTAGGAAAGGTGGAGGGACAGCGGAAGAGGTAGACCCTCAATGAGATGCAGGATAGGGGAAAGGTTCAGATCTGCTGTTCACAGAATTACAATGAGTTGTACTCAACAACAATCTACAACAACAACAACAACAACCCTGTTTGACTACTTCACTAGTCAAAGTCAACTGTGATTAATGGTAACTAACCTGAATTGAATGTGGAAACTATTGGAAAATATCATTCATATCACACACAAGCAAAATACTACTGAAGATTGTTCAAAAGTGGCTAGAACACAGACAGGGAACCACCAGAAGTTCAAGCAGGATTTAGAAGAGGCTGTGGCACCAGGGTTGTCATTGCTGAAGTCAGATGGATCTTGGCTAAAAATAAAGAATACCAGAAGAATGTCTATTTGTGCTTTATTGACTATGCAAAGGCATTTGACTGTGTGGGTCATAACAAGCTGTGGCTGATATTGAAGAGAATGGGAATCCCAGAGCACTGGATTGTGTTTGTGCAAAACCTATACCTGGACTAGGAGGCTGTTGTGTCAGCAGAGCAGGGGAACACAGCATAATTTAACTTTGAGAAAGGAGCACGCCAGGGTCATATTCTCTCCCCGTAACTATTCAATCTTACACTGAGCAAATTATCTGAGAAGCTGGACTTTATGAAGAGGAGTGTGGCATCAGGAATAGAGGGAGACTCATCAATTACCTGAGTTATGCAACTTTGCTTGCTGAAAGTGAGGAGGACTTGAAGCACTTGTTGCAGAAGATCAAGGAATGTAGTCTTCAGTATGGATAGCATCTCAATATCAAGAAAACAAAGATTCTTACCACTGGACCAACAGGCAGTGTCATGATAGATGGAAAAGAGACTTAAACTATCAACAGCTTCATCTTGCTTGAATCCCCAATCAACATCCTTGGTACCAGTAGTCAGGAAATAAGGAGATGCACTGCACTGGGAAAATCTGCAGTAAGGGACCTTTCCAAATTATTGAAGAGTAATAATATCATTTTCAGGACTAATATATGATTGCTTCAGACCGTGGTCTTTCCAATAACTTGCTCTGTATCTGAGAGGCGAACACTGAATAAGAATGACAGAAAAAGAATTGATGCCTTTGAGCTGTGATGTTGAAGAAGAGCATGGAACATCTCATTGACAGCCAGGAGAACAAATAGGTCTTGGAAAGGGTGTAGCTGGAATGCTCTTTGGAGACAAGAATGATGAGGCTTCACCTCATATTCTTTGGGCATGTTGCTAGGAGGTGCTATTCTTTGGAGAGGGACATGATGCTGGAAAGGGTGGAGGGTCAGCAAAAGAGAGGAAGACCCTCAACCAGACGGACTGACACAGTGACTGCTGTAATGTTAGGAAGCGTGAGGATGGTGCAGGATAAAACAAGGTTCAAATCTTTTATTCATAGGGTCACTTTGAGTCATATTCGACTCAGCAGCAAATAACAACAACAATAACAAAAACATGTGTTACAGTGTAGAATCATGCCTTTTAGGACTTTCCTGGTCATAGTTTCCACAGAATAAGATTCTCAAAAATTTGTTGTGTGGAATGTCTGAGGTCTTCAAATTAGATTAGGAAGAGAAAGTCAGTTGTTCATGTCATTTACAAATATTATCATTTGACTACAGTATAGTAGAAATCAAATGAGCAGGCCAGCCAATGTATAAGGAAATAGAATTCTGCATGGGTGGTAAGGAGTCACAGCCAGCCCTAAGGCAGGCGGTTGGAATCCACCAGCTGCTCCTCAGGAGACAAGCGACCTCCCTCCCTCAGTGTTATTTACTGCCTCTAAAAAGGTAGGTGATTTTATTCTGTGGCCCTCAGTTTTAATTGGTTTGGGTCAAACATTCTTCTAAGTGATATAGCACTGGTCTGTCCAATTGCTTTACAAAGGTAACTCATGGTTGCCGTTATGCTAAACACTGTGACACTGATGTGTCAAATGTGATAATGGTTACCCATGGTGGACAGTGTTTGGTGGAGCTTCCCAATGAAAACAAGCTTGGAAGCAGGAGTGGCATCCACTTCTGAAATAGCTTGCCTCCGGAAACTCTATGAACGTGGAGAAATTATAAATGTTCAGGTCTTTCGTTCATAAGGTCACTATGAGTAGTCTATAACTCAATGGCACCTAATAACAACAACAAAAACCTACTAGAGAGTAGGCCATGAGTCAATTCCAACACCATGGTACATAACAGTATGAAAAGTTGAGGAAAAGTCTACATACATATAGAGGGCTACCAGGGATGGGACGTGATGGAGAGAGGGGACATAATTGAATAGATGTATAAATTGAGTGAAGGTAAAGGCAATATACAATAAGGAGTTTAATAGACATTACAATTGATTAATTACCTCAATCACTTGTAATCAATGTTATAGAACTAAATGTCTATCAAAGAGTGAATGAACACATTTGAAAAATTTCACTTGGAAAACCCACAACTGAATGGACAACAATGCCATCACGGATTCACAGACATTATCATCACCTGGAAAGTTTTGCTCACTCGTCCCTCACTCCCTCACTCGACCTCTCTCACTAGCCAGTTGGTAACCGCAAGAGCATAACTGGCCTTTTTGCTCACTGTCCTGTCTCTGCTGCCTACTCTGTCTGCAGGCTAGAGGATGCCACCTAACAAGTGTTTTTCAGTAAACAAATATACTTCTTTGCCTTTTCAGTATTGCCTTTAAATTTAAGTAAAAGCAGAAAGAACAAAACAATATCATCACTCATTTGCCTACCTTTTTCTGATGGCAGTGGGAGAATGAAGAACTGCAGAGCAGGGTGGCTATTCCTGTTTTGCAACGTTTTGCTGGAGTTCTTCAGTTCTCTTCATTTTCTTCAGTGTTCATTTTGGCAATGGGTGGAAATGTCTCACCATAGTGTATTTCTGTAACAAAATGGTCCCAACATGACTCAGAATCTCGCAAACTTGGCACTCTGTTTTAAAAGACAATGCATAACCTCGTTCTCTTCACATTCTCCTCCAGGCTGCAGATAAGGCTTTACTGCTGCTAACATTCTCTCAGGCATGCAGCTTCTGTGTTGTTCTGATTTATCTGAATACTCCACACAGCAGCGTTAGTTCCCTTAACACCTGGCACAGATATACTGTGCCGCAGCACCTTATACTCTGTGAAGTCATCCCAGGTCCCCGGTATAAGAGGAGCCACAGGAGGGCAGGAACACGCTTTTGGGCCCAGAATCTCTGGGATCTAGCCTATATAGTCTGCTGGTTGCAGATGATATATTTATTGTTGTTGTTACATGCCATTGAGTTGCCTGCGATTCATAGCAACCCTATGTATAACAGCTCTAAACTCTGCTCTGTCCTGTGCCAATCTCACTGTCTCTGACACTCCCATCCCGATTATCCCAGTCACTGAATCAATCCACCTCATAGAGGCCCTTCCTCTAGATGATACACACACACAGTTGTGTACCGTAGAGTCTGTACTGACTCATCGCTGACCCTCCAGTGGGTTTTCAGAGGCAGTTAATGGCACAGGAGGAGATTGCCCATCTTCCTCCTGCGGAACAGCGGGTGGCCTCAAACCACGTGCCTTAGGGATTGCAGCACGGCTCCTTGTCACTAGGCCACCAGACTCCTGGGTAATGCAACTGGTTAGTTAAAACATTCAGTTGCCAAGTGAAAGGTTACTGGCTCAAGTCTACTCAAAGTACCAGAGAAGAAAGGCTTGGTAATACATCTTCTTTCAAGAAACCAGGTGTCTGTTGGGTTTTTTGTTTTGTTTTGTTTTCTTTTGTTTTTTTCTGACATGTAACCACGAGTTAGAACTGACTTGACAACAATTGATTCTTTTTTCCCCCCTTGACATTTATTTACAAACACTGGCTGAATTAATGTTATATGTAAATATTACAAGTTTTCTTCTCAGTACAAAGTACTGAGAGTTTTCTCTTAAAAAAAAAATCACAAATTTCAGAGGTCAATTTTTGCCCTCTGCAACAATTTTAATTGTTGCTCTTTAAGTTTTGAGCTCTGGTGCCCTTGTGGTAAGAAGCTGTACTGCAATCACAAAGGTTTGTGGTTAAAACCTACCAGCTGCTCCACGTTCCTGCTGAAAACCCATTGGAAAGTCAACTTTGGGTCAGTTCTGACTCGACAGCATACAACAACAACATCATCAGGTTTCAGGTAAATCCAAAGAAAACTCCCCTGGAAATAATTGTTGATTGATAGTCCACTCTGTCTGTCCCTGGACAACATAAAGTACTGCTGAAGAGTGTGCCATTAATCTCAATGAATGATAGTAAGAAATACCTGGTTTTCCTTCATGAAACGCAATACCTGAAACATAAATAACATACACAGAAGACTTGTATCTCATATGGGAATGCCAGGACTTCATGATATAAACAATGGAGAAAATACACTTTTTTTAAAATCTTCATTGTAAAAATATTTAAAACCTCCTTAGAAATAAGAATTTGCATTTTCAAGTTGTTATAAAGATTTTTCACTTCAGTTTATTTCTCAATATTTTGAAACAGTGACATTTCACCTTGATTTCTTTGTAAACAGTCAAAAGAAATTTGGTGTCAAAATTGCCTTCTCAAAAGTGGATCCTGTTTTAAAAACTGTCACTGTTAAGATTACCAGGAGCTTTTGAAAAGCAGTACTTTCCAAAGGCAATGAAACATCCTAGAAAGATGATTCTGGGAGCTCTCCTTATAATTTGTTGAAAATAGTTAAAACAAAGTGGTTTTATAAGTGTATTTTTTTAAAAAATCCATGCCACTCTTTTACAACTCCTTTTTTTAAATTATTTTATTATTTTGTGTGTCTGTACCGTCAAATGGAATCTGACTGGTACAGGAGGAGATTGCACCTCCTTCTCCAGCAGAGTATCTGGTGGATTCAAACTACATACCTCTGGGATTGCAATGCAGCTTCTTGCCACTAGGCCACCAGAGCTCGCTTTTACTGCACCTCCTCTCAAATTTCTATTTCTTGAAACAGGCCACTAAGAATTTTACATGTAGCTCTGTTAACATGAGATTGCCACTTGCTTTTGTCGTCATGAACCATCTATCGCTGAGCCACCAGCATGTTTTCAGAGGCAGTCAATTGTATGGGAGATTAACTCATCTTTTTCTTGCAGAACAGCTGGTGGATTTGAACAGCGTTCCTCTGGGTTGGCAGCACAACTTTTTACTGCTAAGCCATCCGAGCTCCCTTTAAAGTGTCACTACTGACCTATAAAAACAAGCAGAATGATCAGTCGACTATGTTCAGACAACGGCTATTATTGTTGTAGTTGTCGTTGTTATGTGCTGTTGAGTCACCTGAGACTCATAGCAACCCTATTTAAAACAGCTCTGAAGCCTGTCTTGTCCTGAGCCAGTCTCACTGATTCTGACACACCTACCTCCATTACCCCAACCACAGTATTTATTTCATCTGGGGTCTTCCTTTCCTGCACTGTCCTTTCGAGCGTCAAGTCCTTCTCCAAGGACTAGTTATCACGCCATTTTAAAAAAAAATTTACTGCTTTTCATATACCTCATATTTTGTACCTGTAGTTTGTGTTTTACCTCATTCTGCAGTACTGAAAATGTACATCATAATGAGTCACTTAATATTGTCATTTCCTGTCTTCAAGTAGAAAAGGTTGGCTTTGGCCTCAACTAATTAGCTACACAATTCTTCTTGGAGCTAATTCACTCATCTGAAAAATGAAGATAGGGTTGCGTTTTCTATAAAGAAGTTTGGCTTTTAGCATAAATGAAAAGGCCTGTGTAAAATATCTGGACAGTAGTGAATATCAGAAAAAGTGCTAATACTTATGTTTGATTACAAAATCAATCCAAAAACGCATTTTAGAGAATTGAGTTTAGCTCTTAAAATCAAAAAGGCTGCCACTTGTCAAAATACTAAAAAGATGGAAGGAGGAAGTTCTAGTTCATCTCATTTTGTCTTATTAGCCAGAATCACCACCAGGATTTTGATATTGATAAAAATGTATATGATCAAAATATACATCCGAGTAACATAACTAAATTGTCCCATGAGTTTGTGTATTGTTCACATTTCATTTTTATAGATTATCTAGTAATCTGACTCCTCAATATTGGACAGGTTGGCCATTTGGTCTTGGTTCAAATACATATAAAAGTATAATAAATGCATTACGAACAGCATAAGGCTGTGAGGTATGAATAGATTATCAGGCTCGTAGATAAATTACTAAAACACAAACCAATAAAAGCACAACTCAAAAGTTTCATTTTATATAAAACTGAAGAAAATGTTAGCATCAACTAAGGAGCTCTGGAGGCATATTGTTGTTGTCTGCCTTCGAGTCGAGTACGAGTCATAGCGACCCTATGAACAGAAGGCCTGAAGCCCTTCTACAACTATTGACATTCATCAAAGTTCACAGAGTTTCCGGAGGCATGTTGTTTAGAAGTGGATGCCACTTCTGCTTAGTGGGTAAGGAATTCCCCATCCACCCAAAGGCAGGTGATTTGAACTCACCAGATGCTCTGCAGATAAAAAATAGACAGTCTTCTCCCGTGGTATTTACAGGCTCTGAAAACCCAGTGGCGCGTCATCTGAGTTGATTCCAACTTAACAGCAACTAGTTGAGTTGACGTTGTTATTGTTGAGTCAGAACTGACTCACAGCTGACCCTCCAGAGAGGGTTTTCAGAGGCTGTTAATTGTATGGTAGGAGATGGCTCATCCTTCTCCTTTGAAGCAACTGGTGGATTTGAACCACGTGCCTTCGAGTTGGCAGTGCAGACAGTACTCCAAAAAGAGCCCTGATGGCACAGTGGTTAAGTGTTTGGCAGCTAATCCAAAGGCTAGTGGTTCAAGCCCATCCAATAACTCCATGGGAGAAAGATCTGGGGCTCTGTTCTCCTGAAGATTAGTCTAGGAACTCCATGGGGCAGTTCTTCTCTGTCACATGGGGCTGCTATGAGCTGTAATTGACTTGACAACATCTAACAACAACGACATATTATTACAAACAGATGCACTCCTTATATGTTATTGCTCTTGATTTCAAGGATGACAATTTATGCAGACACATTTTTTAAAATTTATTTTATTATTTTTGTGTGTGTACCGTCAAATCAGATCTGACTGGTACAGGAGGAGATTGTCCCTCCTTCTCCAGCAGAGCATCTGGTGGATTTGAACCGCGCACCTTTGGGATTACAGTGCAGCTTCCTGCCCCTAGGCCACCAGAGCTCCCTGCAGATACATTTTTAAAGGTAGTTTAGCTCTACAATGGCATGAAGCTGAGTCTCTAAAGTTCTACAATTTTATATTTGTTACATTATTCATCCTTGCGAACAGCAGGCTTGACATACAGCTTCTGTCATTATATAAGGAAAATAAGGCTAGTTATCTCTGGAAAACAAAACAAAACAGAACAAACTCTGACCTTGACCTCATTAACATCAAGTCCTGGCAACAACTAAACGAAAATGGGTCACAAAGTCACAACAATGCCAGATCCCATTTGGTTCCAGTCTTCCAACCACTATGAAGCTCTAAGGATAAAAGAAGAAAAATAAAACAATTGTATGGAGGTAATGCAATTCAAAATTTGTTTTAAACTTATCTTTTACTATTTTTAATCAATTATTTATCTTTCCAAAATAAATTAAGATTGAATTCTTTATTTGCACTTAACTGTTTTATACCAGCTTTGTCGTGGCATAAACTTTGCACCAGGGATAATTCTACACTTTCTTGTAGACACTTCATTGCTCATGTTAATACTTTAAGCAATTTCCACTTCGTTTCAATTGGTGAGACCTGCTTCTCATCTACTAGATAAACTCTCTCTCACTTTCACTGCCCTCGAGTAGGAAGTGACTCATAGCTGAGCCTCCAGCAGGTGTCTGAAGCTGT